GTGAGCCACCATGCCCGGCCTATAATTTGAGTTTTGTTACTTAATCTTTCCAAGCACCAAATCCTTAGCTTCTTCCTGGAGCAGCCACAAAATTCTACAGATTTGTACTTATACCTCATTGGTTTCCAGTGTGAGACGTCTGTCAGATTGCTGGCCGGGCAGAAACACTCACGCGGTGTTCCAATTACTCCTACGGACACACTCATCACCATTTCTGAGTATCTGCTCCTATATTTTGTATTTATACCTCCCATGTTTCTTCTATTATATTTGTTATGCAAATAAGAGCTTTTTCTTTTGCTCTCACTCTGTTTTATAAATGTATTATTGATATTTTTATCATACAAACTTACATATTTTAGAAATATTAACAAATTCATAAGAGAACAAAAAATTAAAACAATCGTGTGGAGATAATCATTTTGGCATATATTCTTCCCAACTTTTTCCTTGACAAAAATGAAATTATACTACCTATAGAGACCTATTTATTTGAAATAAATACATATGGCCATTTATCTTGTCAAATATTTATCTAATTATTATTTTGAATGACTATTTGGGATTCCAGGGCATGGAAGTACTATAATTTATTTGTCCAGTTGTCTAGTTTTAAATATTTAGGTGCTTCTATTTTTCACTATCAGAAACTACCTTCTGTATAAATATTAGAGCATATAATTATTTTTCTTGAAGTTACATTGTCGCTTAAAGAGACTGCATATTTTTAAGGATTTGATACTATTCCTAAATTTACTTTTTAAAAAACTATGCCAACTTGCACTATTAACGATATATAAGAGGGCTTATTTCTCCATCCTTTCCCCACCATGACATAGCACAGAGTCATTCTTTTAAATCTCTGTTAAACTCATGGGCAAAAAGGGTACCTTCTCTTTATTTGCATTTTTTGATTACTAATAAGATTATGCATTTTTTGTATATTTATCTTGTCTTCGTTATTCACCTGTGTATGGCAAACACTGTTTCAGTCATATTTGCTTAAGTCATCTATACGTGCTAACCCTGCCAGAAATCTAGCAAATTTTTCCATTCTTTGGGTTTGACATCATCTTTAAGCAAATCCCTAGTATGTATTGGCTGATAGCTGGAAATCAGTGGCTGAGTGGGAGGAAGGAATTAGGTTTCCTGTGAAAGAAGATACATGTCTCCCATATATGCCAGGGGCACGTGGGACCATGGGTGCCATTCTCTTCCTCTATCCTTTTTTCCAATTCCGTTATCCTTTCTTTTTCCCCTTAGCCTCCCTGTATTCTAGGCTTCCAAATTACATTCACTGACTAGCTCCACTGGCCTTAAAAGGGAGTTGTTCATTCTTGAATTTAAATACATTTGCAGATTGATAGTCAATATCAATAATTCACTTGACTCTAACGCCAGCTCAATTCTTTGTGAGAACATAAGACTATGTGCTCCTCACTAATCATAAGAAATGAATGTTATCAGAATTAACATATTAGAGGAGTGGTTCTCAAAGTGTGTCCACTCCCTACTATCAGCATTACTGGGAAACTCGTGAGAATGCAGATTATCAGGCTTCACCCCAGACCTACTAAATCTTGGTAGGGCCCAGCAAGCAGGTTCAACATCATTCAGGTGCTTGTAATGCATGCTAAAGCAGGAGAAGCACCGGATCATAGCATTTTCATCAATGGAAAATGGTGATTACCATAAATTATAATCCACTGTTAGAACCTTAAAATGCATCCCACTGGGACTCTGATTACCATTTGTTTCTACAGTAAACCATCCATTCTTTCATGAGGGCCTGGAAAGTTTCCAGATCCACATGGGGGTCTCTCTTCTCAGGATCCAGCACATTCCACAGCTCCTCAAGGCCACTGTCTTCAGAATCCTGGCTATGTGTTTGTCTCAGGTAATCCATTATTTTGGCCACTCTGACTGAGCCTTAAGAAGAAGAAAGGGAAATTAGTTTTCAAAGATGGAGAAAGATACACTTTTAACAAGTGAGGTGCTTAACTGTTATGTCTCCTGGATCCTAGAAACATGCCACACAACCTTCATGGTCCTGTCACGCTGGCATGGTATAGCAGACCACTGGCCTTGGGCTAGAGTCCAATGGACCTAGTGTCAAATCTTGCTCTGATAATTACCAGCTGTGTGGCTGTGGGAAAAAAATCTGAGCCTCTTGGTTTCTTTGTCCATAAGATGTGAATGATGATATGTATCATATAGAGTTGTGAGGTTTAAATATAGATAATATATGTAATCAATAATCACTTACAGGAGGTGATCAAAATGGCACTGTATGTTTTCTCTCATTCTTTCTTTAAAAAGCACTCAGTGAAGGAAGTTTTTCCTTTGCTCTACATAAAATTTCAGTCTCAAGAAAAAACTTCGACTCCTTTTTTGCAGGAGAGGAGGGAGTCCGTTCTTAGACACAATCAGTTCTACTATCACATTCGGAAATTAAAATCACCCAGACTATGTTAGTAATTGACACACTAATCTTCTTTAAACACAAGACTTCTCTCTTACTCCCAACTAAAGGCTGCTTTGGTCTGGCTGCTTGCCAGGTGGAGGAAAAAATAAGTAGAAGGTAGACAGGGTGGATGCGAGAGTGAAGGGTCTTCCCTTGAGGAAGTAAGGATAGAACATGACATAAGAAAAAAATAAGTCTCGTAATTAGGAAGAGGAGATAGTTTTAAAGGAGACTGAATAACTTCAAAAGGAATATTAATTTAATGTAACATGTCATTTAAATGTGATGGTTAAGTATTAGAAAGAGAAATAAAATGACTAATACAATTATTTAGAGAGATTATTTTATCTTTATTTGCAGTAGAACTGGAAAGAGAGCTAGAACGCCAACAAGAATATATTTATCTCATTTTCCTTCACTAAAACTCTAAACCCTCTATCATATTCCTCAAAATTAGAAAGGCCTCCTGTGATGGTTAACTTATATGTCAACTTGACTGAGCCATGGGGTGCCCAGATATTTTGTCAAACACTATTTTGGGTGTCTCTGTGAGGGTGTTTTTGGATGAAATTAACATTTAAATCTGTAGACAGAGTAAAACAGATTGTTCTTCCTAATGTGGGTGGGTCTCAGCCAATCAACTGAAGGCCTGACTAGAAGGAAAAAGCTGACCTTCCCCCAAGTGACAGAGAATTCTTCCTGCCTGGCTGCCCTCAAACTGGTACATTGGCTTTTTTTCTGCCTTCAGAGTCAACTGAAATGTTGGCTCTTCCCTCATCTCAAGCCTGTTGGCTTTTAGACTGGAACTATATTATTAGCTCACCTGGTTCTCAGGCCTTAGGACTTAAAATAGAACAAATCATTGGCTCTCCTGACTCCCCAGCTTGCTGACTCACCCTGCAGATCTCGGGACTTGCCTGCCTCCATAATCACATGACCCAGTTTGTTATAAAAAAAATCTCTTTAGATAGATATAGAGATGTAGATGTATCTTCCCACTGGAGGACCCTAATACACATCCCATGGCCCTTCAGTGAAGCTTTCTTATTTTCGTCAGAGAAATAATTTCTTAAATACTATCCAAGCAGAGAAGCTTCTGGAAAGAAGTAAGTTCCACTCATGCTAAAGATATAATTAAGAGTACAAATATTTTGCTACAGAAATGTTCGTAACAGTGTTGTTTATAACAGAAGATATCCAAATCAGATTGATTGGTTAAATATGTTACATTCAAAAATGTATAGCACGTGAAGAAAATTAGTTGATGCATCTAAGTATTTGAATTATTAAGTGAGAAAAAGAAGATTATAAAACAAGTCTGGAAACATTTCATGCATACTTAGGGCATATGTTATTATAGTATATCATATATTTAAAAAAAAAGAATGGCCAAAAAAAGTCTGAAACCATTTTTAGCAATCATATTGGGGTAGTGAGGTGGATAGACCCTAAGGCATTCCTGTGATCCTACCTCCTGGTGTTCACATCCTGTGTACTTCCCTCCTCTGGAGCATGGAAGTGACTTGGGACTTGCTTCTAACCTATGGAATATGGCAAAGATGATAACTGTGCATGTGTGGCATTGCATGATTGAGCTACCCAAGACAGTAGCAACTGTCTTGCTAGAGTCACTCCCTTGCTGGCTTTATGGGCTGCCTATGTTGAGAGACCCAGGTGGCAAGAAACTGAGGGAGGCTTTAAGCTGACAATAGCCAGAAACAAAAGGCTTCTCTGTCCTATAACCACAAAATGCTAAATTCTGCCAACAAAAGCAGGTTATATTCCCCAGTTCAGCCCCAGATAAGACAGCTGCCCAAGTCGGCATCTTGATTGCAGCCTTGGAGTTCCTTAGCAAAGGGTCCGGCTAAGCTGTGCCTAAACTTGTTATCCACAGATGTTGTGAGTTAATAAAATTGTGTTGTGTTAAGCTGCCAGATTTTGGTAATTCATCAATAGAGAACTAATAGAAGTAGTTTGGTATTATTACTCTGAAACTATTGTGTGTGTATGAGTAAAGCAAACGAGCATTTGTATTGGTGATGTTGAGAACCAGGATTGTCATTGGGTGAGAAAGCAATTCAGAGATAAAAGAGAGAAGTAAAAACCCAATAGTTCTGAATTTGCATTGGAAGAAAGACTATGAACTCATAATGCATTTTGGCTTCAAAAAATGTTAGTACTTTCTGTATCTAACCACTGCAAATGCCTAGAAACAACAACTACTTCTTATGCCCAGATCGTGCTCTCCATATAACATTTCCCATGAAAAGGTGTCATGGATCCTTGAAGAAGTAACTGATTTCAAGGCAGGAGCAAGAAATGTACAAGATAAGCCTAGAGAATTTTATAATACAAGGAAAAACAAGGAAGCTATTAAAAACTATGGGGCACACACCGAAAGTATTAGTACCCGGGCCATCAGGCTGCACTAGGAAGTAAGGAAATGTCATAGAAAGAGGGGATGTATCAGACAGATACAGCAGCCAGCTTGAAGAGTACCCTGATGGCCAATACTGGGACAGTTTGGCATCAAAATAAATAATGATAGCAACAAATTACAAACCACCAAATATAAGAGGGATCCAGAAATTCATAGTAATAGTAATTAATTAGTAAGAAGATAAAACCCTTATGGCAGATTGACGGGTAATAAACATAGCAAGAATGAGGGAGAGAGAAAATTTCCATTTGGCAACCATTATAGTATCATCATAATTGATTCAGGCAAGAAATATCAATGGATGCTAAAAGGAGTGAGTGAAAGTTTGATGAGGACGAGGATACTTACATTCACTCAGTGTATCTTCCTATAAAATGCTTATTAACTACAAAGGAAAAAATAGTAACTTTACCATGGAGAAACCTGGCAGACAGTACGCTAACCAAGTGATCAAAGTTAAAAGTCCTGACATATCTGACTGAGGACACACCATCACTTCTGTGGTATGCCTGCCAAAAATGAATAACCTGAATCTAATTAAGAGGAAATATCAGACATTACACAAAGTAACTGGCCTATACTCTTCAAAAAAGTTAAGGTCAAAAAGACAAAGAATCTGAAAAACTGTTCCAGATTAAATCAGACTAAAGAGATGTGACAATGAAATACAAGGTGTGATTTTGGATTGGATCCTGGACCAGGAAACAAAAAAGCTATGAAGTATATGTACAGTACTGAGACAACAGACAAAATCTGAATGTGGAACTGTGAACTAGATAATCGTATTGCATCAATATGCAATGTTCTGATATGTGGTCATGTGAGCAAATGCCCTTTTACATAGGAAATACACACTGATGTACTTGGGAGTAAAAGGGGGTAATATCTGCAACTTAGTCTCGAATGGGGGAGAGGGAAGGGGAAGGAGAGGGGAGGGGGAAAGAGCTGGAGAGAGAGGGAGCAAGGAGGGAGAGGGAGGGAGAGACCAATGATAAAGCAATTGGGACAAAATGTAAATAACTGGCGTATCTAGATAAAGGACAAATGCAAATTATTTGTACTTTTCTTAAAACTTTACATTTTGACATAATTTCAAACTAATAGAAAAGTTACATCCACCCCCCAAAATGACTCTGTAGTCAACACGAAGTGATTTCTACTGCTTGTGCTGCTCAACGATGGGCACCAATAAGAATAAGATAAACATCAGTGAGACAAATAATTACAATGTATAAAATATGTCACATGTATTAAAATCATGAATTCAAAATAATACACAAAACTTCATTGGTCATCTTTGAAGGACGCTACAAGGACCAATTTATCATTTGCAAACTGATAGATAAAGGGATGCAGTCAAGCTTTTATCCTGCGTCTCCTTCAGGACACGAGGCCCAGAATAGCCAAACAGCTGATAAAGCAGAGTGGAATTTCTCTTTATAGATGTATTCCAGCTGGTAAATTAGAAAGGAAAGATAGAACATTACCATTTGCAACACCTAATGAAAGAATAGATCTAGGCCTTCATCATCAACCTTTGCCTTCTGATGAAAACACATAACACTATCTATGCAGAATTCTTGCCCCCCCCCCAGAAAAGCAAAAAACAAACAAATAACACCCTCAAACTTTTATCTGATTAAACCTCTATACATAGGAGACACAGAAACAGGGTAAGTGTTCCAACAAACATACAGTTACCAAATTTCAGATTATGGGAAACTATAAAAGAACCAGTTTCTTTAACATAAAATGCAAAAAAGAGAGATGGAAAGGCAACATAGAGATAAAGCAGACAACCAATTGCAATGAACAAAACTTTCTTGGGTATTGATTTGAACAATAAAACTATTTAAGAAAAAAATAATATATATATATATATCACACGAATGAGAAATTTTGAACATTGACAAGATATTTGATAATATTAGGAAAGTATGTTACTTTTTCAGTTGTAATAAGGGCATTGTAGTTGTGTTTAAAATCAGTCATTATCTCTTAGAAATATGTACTGAAATACTTACAGATGAAATAAAGTGATGTCTGGGATGTGCCTCAAAATAATCCAGGGTGGAGGAAAATGAGTGGAGTTGAAATGAGACATAACTGGTTGTAACACATATATAAAGTTAGTCGCACTATTCTCTCTACTCCTGTATGTATTTGGAATGTTCTATAATAAAAAAATTTTAATCCAAATAAAACAAAATCATACTGACAGAGGAAATTGTGTAAAGATATAAAACAAATCGGTAACAATGGTTACTCAGGGAAATAAGATTACTGATGATTTTTTTCTCTTCTGCTTATTAATTTTATTACAATGAGCGTGAATCATTTACATACTAAAAATTACTTGCAGAAATCTTAAAAAGAACACATCTCCAAAAAAATACAGAAGTGAAAAAATCTAAAATTAACTAAAAATTTTGAGTTAAACTTGCATATAGTGGTTTTGTATATTTAAAATATATACTTGCTGTGGGGAAACACCTATGCCATGTAAGTAGTTCCAATCAATGATTACAGCTGGCAAGTCAGCTGCTAAGCTCAAAATCATCCAAGTCACTGTTAAAAAATGCAAAATAGGAACAAAGAAATAACCAAGACCTAAATAGCCAATCTTATTCCCAAATTAGGCTGCATCCACCACAAGCGTAGACACACATACAGAGACATCCCCTACCCCCAAACCATTTCCCTTTCTCTCGCAATAGAAAGTACAGATGACTTAGTTAGTATCACCAAATGTTAAAGCAGGTAACTTTCGACTTACCTTTGTGTTTTGTGTCACATGCATAAAAAATACTTGCGAGCACTTCTTCCTCACGGACCCTGTTAGTGCTGTCTGTTATATCTTTGCCATCATCAGCTCCTTGTTTCCATCCTAGTAGAAGAAAAAGTTTGCAAATCCAGATGCTTTTCTGTGCTACAACAATTTCCATTTTTTTGGTTTAATTTTAACAAGGAAACCTTACAAACAGTCACCCACCATAGTGGTTACTTAACTTAAATGGACCAACAAAAAAGTAATCTTGAAAGGTCTCCTATTATTCATTTTTCCCAAGTTTTTGAGGTTTTTTTTGAGACAGAGTCTCGCCCTGTTGTACTGGGTAGAGTGCAGTGGCATCATCAGAGCTCACAGCAACCTCAAACTCCTGGCCCCAACCAAGCCTCCTGCCTCGGCCTCCGGAGTAACTGGGACTACAGGCATGCGCCAGGATGCCTGGCTAATTTTTTTTCTATTTTTTTTTCTATAGAGACATGGTCTCACTCTTGCTCAGTCAGGCCTTGAACTCCTGCTCTCAAGCAATTCTCTCACCTTGGGAGAAGTGCTAGGATTACTCTCAAAGTGCCAGGATTACAGGCGTGAGCCACTGTGCCTGGCCTCACTTTATAAGTTTTATAAAAGGAATGGGGGGAAAAGAGAGATGGAGAGGGAAATGCACTTTTTGCCCTTTAATATTAAAAATGTTCTATGGAAAAGCCAACTAGTATTACACGAACAGGAATATTTTTAAGAAAAATAGAGAGAAAGCAGAAACTAGCTCTACAGATGTGTCATTTTACATTGTTTTGTTTTTCAATGCCTATTACATATGGGACTCTTGCAATCTTCTAAGTAGAGTTCCCTACACTTCAATTGGCCTGCAAAATTCACATGCTCCCCTGGCCTATGTCCTTCGCTCCTGCAATGGAACCCACACTTCATTCCATGTTTGTTTGACTCTTACACAAAGAAATGCTAAAATGGTCATTTCAGCAAGACACCCGAGGACTGTATGAATTTTAACTCCCCTGTATCTATGTATTCCCATTGTGACATTCTAATTTGGCCTGGAGAAAGTCTGTTCGCAGTTCAGTAGAGAAATATCACATTATTATAAATACAATCCAGAATTTCTATCAGGTTTTTAATTGGAAACATTGAAAATACTTACACTTTACACATAAGATTTTCTTTTGGTGGGGGGAAGGAAACAAACATGGTTAAAACAGAAAAGGAAAGATGGATGCTTCCATCCAAACTTTGATAATGTAGATTTGTTTTTTTCAGTTCAGGTATTATAAATGTAGATATGCTTATTGCTCTACTGGAAAAACAAACTTTAAAAGATGAATATTTACCATCTCCATTCAGAGATAATTTCTTTACCACTGAATCCTGAGGATCAAAACATTCAGAGCTTCGACAAAAGTTGGAATCAAAGTCAAGTGTTATGGTACTAAAATTATTTCCACTGCAATAGTTATTCGAATCCTTGTTCGAGAACTCCCCTTTTCTGATCTGTGACATCAAAGATGTATAATTCTTGTTGCGCTCTGACCTTAGCATTGAGATGTTTTCAGAACTTGTGAGAAAAACAGAGTATGTCTCAGGCTCAGGGGGGCTGAGGTGAGCAATGGATGGGGTTCCTGAAGATATCATTTGAGGAGATGAAGTGAAGGTGTCAGCTTTCTGAGAACTTAACAAATGAGAGTCCGGCATAGGAATGTGAGCAGTGGTCAGTTTCCTCAGTACCTCTTCAAAATTTTTCTTGCTGTTGGTCTGTGGACTATCAAAACTGCTAGACTGGTATTTGATTATCTGTCGAATCGGATTTGAAATTGCTTCTCTCCTTTGGATGGCTCTGATTTTTCTACAAATGCTTTCCACCGGGTGATGCCGCTTCTCAGGGACCTTCCTTGCAGAGGCCATTGGTGACTTTCCCCCAATTACACAGACAAAGTAGCTAAAGTATAGGCAAAAGTAGATACATATTTAAAAGTTAGCATTGTCCTAACAATAATTTAGCAACAGGCAGTTTATTCCCAAATCAACTTTGGAGGGCTCAAGACCAGATGCTCAATTGCTTTAAGCAACTTTCCATGCATTTAACGTTGGCAATCAAACATCTAGAAAAGAACAGCTGCCATATGTGAAGGATTTACCATGTGCCAGGCATAGTGCTAAGCCCTATGCTCACAGACTCATTTCATCTTCAAAACAACTCTGAGGGCTGAGCATGGTGGCTCACGCCTGTAATCCTAGCACTCTGGGAGGTTGAGGCAGGAGGAGCTCTTGAGGTCAGGAGTTCAAGACCAGCTTGAGCAAGAGTGAGACTTTGTCTCTATCAAAAATAGAAAAAATTAGCAGGGTGTGATGATATGCACGTGTAGTCCCAGCTACCAGGGAGGCTGAGGCAGAAGGATTGCTTGAACCCAGGAGTTCGAGACTGCAGTGAGCTATGATGACGTCACTGCACTCTACCCACAGCAACAGAGCAAGACTCTGCCTCAAAAATTAAATAAATAATAAATACTCTAGGCAAAGAGTTACAATCGTTTGAATAGTTACAACCAAATAGTTGAATAGTTATGAAAGTATTACTTTTGAAAGTTATGATTTTTAGGACCTTGACAAAAATTTCTATAGATTTTTTTTAAATCCTCTAATAAAGAATGAACAGAAAGTATGGAAATTTTAAGAGCTATAATTGAAAGGGGTACCTAGAAAGACAGGGAAGAAGAAAATACTCAGAGTCCTCTCCATCTGGCTTTATCTTACTTTAATACGATGACCATCCGCTCCAGCCAATGAAGTTTTCACTATCCTTTACCATTTAGGACATCTCTGAACCTTTGTGTTCTCTCCCAACAATGCCTTCTTTTACATTTCGGCAGGGTTTTTTTTTCATTTTTCGGCTTAAACCCCTTTCTTTTCTTAAATTTTTGGATTCGTTTTTTCTTCCTTGGCTTCACTTTTTTTTGTTTTTTCTTGGGTTTTTTATTTTTCTTTTTTTTTTTTTCTTTTATTTAATTTTTTTTTTTATTCTTGGATTTTCAAATGTGTGTGCATGTTGTCTCCTCAAAAATGCTTTTAATTCTTGTATTCAAATGCCAAGATGTGATTCTTTTCTAGATATTCAATACATAATTGTTGGCACAACTGCTAATCAATTATATAGAATACCTATGATGACCAGGCTTGTGGCCACACTCCCCAGCTGCTGTGATTTTCGGCTCCCAACTGAGTTCAGCTATCACTTTTTCTGGAGAATTACTCCCCTTGTCTAAACAAGAGCTGTTCAATTGCTCAAGTGGGAAGGTGGAAGTGAAACAGTAGTAATGACAGTAGAGAATTTGCTCGTGAACACAACGCACTCCAAATCTACAGGTGACTATGGAAGTGATTTAGCAGGAACACAACTGACTTCCCCATGTCAAGCAAAGGGCCTTATTAAAGACTGGTTAAGTATCTATCAGTGTTTTCCATTTGAGTTGACTGTTTCTTCCTTCTAGAGCCAGAGAATTGAGGGACAGGTTGGGTATGGGGCTAATAGATGCCCTGGAGCTGGAACCTCAGGCTCCCAAACCCTGTCTACCTATGTCACTGAACAACAACGTGGTGTGTTGTTCAAGTCACAGCCAGAGGCCTTACTTTGCAGGCATTTGTAACTGACCCGGATTAACGTTCCTAGTGTACAACACACACATTTGTATTTGCTTTTCCAAAGCATGTTTCTCCTTCTACCATCTGTCTTCTAAACTTCTACAACTCACCTGAGTCCTGCCTGGTGGCTGATAAGCTAAACTTTAGGAAGAGTAGACTTAAGGCACTGGCTTTTCATGAGCTAACAAAGCTTCACAAGATTAACTTGTTTTGCTTTTTCTAATATAAAGCATAACATTTGCAGGAGTTCCATAAATAAGATGGGGTGATAAAGATTTCAAAATTTGTGCCACCTTCTCTACATACAGCTTGGAAATATCTGCTGTCTGTCTAAACCTCTTAACCTCTTTTTTAGTTTTAGATCCTGGTAGAAAAGATCAGCTGCAGTCTGGCAGGACACTTAAAAATACAAGTCTAACTTGCTTTGTATTATACAATAACTGCCTTTGAAAAAGCATTCACTGAAAATTCAGAACAGAGTGAATTGTACTAGAAGAATCAGTTGCTTGGAGTCTTTTAAAAGGAATTTCTCCCTTATTTATCTGTTTTAGCTGATGATTTACTGTGTAAAGATGATACACTTCCATAGCACTCTGGGAGGCCGAGGCGGGTGGATTGTTTGAGCTCAGGAGTTCGAAACCAGCCTGAGCAAGAGTGAGACCCCGTCTCTACTAAAAATAGAAATAAATTAATCGGACAACTAAAAATATATAGAAAAAATTAGTTGGGCATGGTGGCGCATGCCTGTAGTCCCAGCTACTTGGGAGGCTGAGGCAGGAGGATCGCTTGAGCCCAGGAGTTTGAGGTTGCTGTGAGCTAGGCTGACACCATAGCACTCTAGCCCGGGCAACACAGTGAGACTCTGTCTCAAAAAAAAAAAAAAAAAAAATGATACACTTGCAGAAATCCTGATGTCAAGTGCTTCTTTTGCTTTTAGGTTCTATGAACCTCCATTACATTTCACATACTTTCTATATCCATTCTTTTAAGCAGTCAGCCAGTCAAGCAGTCAATATTTATGAAATACCTGCTAAGTGCTAAGCCCTGTGTAGATACTGGGGCTACAATGACGAACAAAGCATCTGCCGTCCTAAAACTTGTAGTCTGTGGAAGATACAGACATGAACAAGCAAGCCACGAGGCTTGCCAGATTAAGTCCAGGATGCCCAATAAAATTGTAATTTCAGATAAACAATGATAATTTTTTAGTATAAGTCTGTCCCAAATGTTACATGGAACACACTTATACTACAAAATTATTTGTTGTTTACTTGAAATTCAAATGTCAGTGGGTGTCTTTTATTTTTATTAGCTAAATCTGGCAACCCTAAAGCCCACCAATAAATAATTACTCACATAGCCAGGAACTATGATAGCCTATAATAGTAGATTATCCCAGTTTCGGAGTGAGTACAGGAAAAAATTTAGGGGCATCTGTTATGTGTCGTGCACTATACATAATACTATACAAATTGTTAGCTAAATGCAGGGTTAGAAACAGAACATTTTAAAGTGGAACTATAAATATGCTATAGGAATTTTCACTTGGATTCACATGAGCTAAATGTAAAGTAAAATAATGTTAGAGATTTCCCATACCACTTATTTCACTAATCTTATTGTTTAATCCCTCCTATTGATTGAATATGCTTCACTGTTCTTGATTATAGAATCTTGATTATAGAATTACCATTGTCTGAATTGTCTTGTTATATATAGTAAAAGCTCTTGAATCAACGCTTTTCAACCATCTGTCTGATCTAAAATTATAATGCGACAATTAAAAGCCTCTGATGATGCATGGCAACAGTATGGGGTGGGGACCCTGCAGCCTCAGGGCCATGTGTACGCTCTGGATCCTTGAGTGTGGCCTTTTGACTGAATCCAAATTTTACAGAACAAATCCATTTATTAAAGGGATTCATTCTGTGTGCTCAGGGACCCAGAGGGCCACATGTGGCCTTGAGGCCACAGGTTCCCCACCCCAAAAATTTCATTGCAAAGAAAGTCGTAACATTTATACAGAGGTACAAAAGTAGCATCCTTGAAAAAGCTGGCATATTTCAGGGTGATTCAAAAGCCTCTTTAGAAAGCCTTCTGAATCAAATCCTAACGCAAAAAAAGATTATGTTGACAATGTAATTATCTTTCCTTTAGCATTTTTTTCCTTTACCACAATTTTTTTTTCTCCCTTTACTAATATTACTTCTTGAACATTGAACTTTCAAACCTTAGGTCAGGCAGGCAGATTTTTAAAATTATTCAGTACTTGATTATGAAAGCCAGACAAATCTTTCATGGCTCACCTGAGCTCCACTTGGTGGTTTAATTAATGTAAAATCCTTAATGCTTGCAAAAAATCTAAATATACATGTAGACAGATAACTAGATAGTTATAAACAAGGGGTTCCTTTTGCCAAAACAGCGCTTCACTAATGATTAGATGCCACGAAACTCTTCATCAAAACATAAGAAGAAACATTTGTTCACTAAGACGTTCCCAAGAAACCCATTTTCAGGGAGCTCAGAGGGAGGGCAGACCATGGTTTTCCACTTAACTAGCGAATTTTATGTTTGCCAGATTAAACTGTTTTCAGTCTCCTTGTGACTAGTCTTTTATGTGATGAAATAATAACACTTACTTTTTCCTGCCCTTTCTAGGATATATGATAGCAGCTGTTAATCAAAATGATTTGCAAACAAGTCCCAGATGTAGTAAATGCTCAGTGAGTTTGTCATCTGCAACCTTTCTGATTATTAATAAATGCAAGCTGGTATAGACTAGAACCCTCTCCTCCCACCATTCACCTAACCTTGTTATATTAAGCTTCTTGGCTGGGTCACACCAAGCTTGTTGTAAACATCTCTTATTGGAACAATTCCTGAAATAGCAGAGTAACACATATGCTTCTGAAAACTGCGCTCTTCTGTTTCACTTCTTATTGTATGAGTTCTGGTTTTCTTCTCAGAGACCAGGAGAAGACCTACAATAAATCTCCGACTCCAAGAACTCAGGTGTTCCCATGTTCTCACAGTCAACAAAACTACCTTACTGCTTCCACTAACGCACATTCCAGATGGCCAAGCCTGGAAACACCATTAAGGACTTTTTAAGTATTCAAAAGCCCCTTTGAAAACAATTCTGGGATTTGCCCATGATAAGAGCGACACTTCTGGGGAACCTAGCTTTACCACTCACAGCGACCGATCTTTTTTCCCCATTTTTTCAGTGATTTTCTTTTCTAGATTGGTTTCAAGTTTTCAATGAACTCTGTTGAACCTCTAGCATAGCCTGATATTGGAGCTCTGCCTCATTCGCAGCAGGCAAGTCGAGGCCGGGGTTGGGGTGAAGGAACAGGGCAGCTTACATCTGAGATTGCTTTTTTAGTTTACTATTTAGGGCGGTACTTTCTTGGCCTTAGCTGACTGACTAAGGGCCAGCGTCGGCCGAAATTGAATTATTTACTTGGGGAAAACTCACCACCGTATTTTCACTTCACTTTACCAGCACTCCAAGAACCATCTTCTGCAAACTGGGAAGGGAGAACAGAGCCCGACAGATCAGATGACGTGGGTGGAGCTAATTTCTACAGGGCGGCTGGGTGAGGGGAAAGATGAAAGCTGGAGGGGAGGGAAGCCACTGACCAGCTGCACCTGCCTGGGTTCTAGCCAAGATAATGAGAGCGGCGGTGCGAGGAAAAACGCGCAGGAGCGGGGAGAATGGCAGCTTTGGGTACAGGCGCCATCTTGGTGCACCCCCCACCGCAGCAATGACAACAAAATAAAGCTCGCTCCAAATATCTCTCATTCTCTCTAGGATGAAGGAAAAGTCATTTTTTAAATTAAATTTCATAAGTTGCTATTGGGCCAAATGCTGTATGGTTTTGAAAACATTAATGAAATTGTCCCTGCCTTTTATGGGACCATATCTGGTTTGGGAGACACGGTATATAAATTACACAAAGTATAATAATGAAACAAAGAAGTACATGAGTGGTACATAAATTAAGCTCCACGAGAGGTCAGGATAGGGTAAGTTCAATGTAGGTCGAAAAGTTTTTGTAAAGGAAGGGGTACATCGCTGGGCTTTAAATAATAAAACATTTTGGGTAGCTGGGGGCTTGGGCAAAGCCGAGCAGTTGGGAGAGAGACAGAAAGCACAGTGGGGAGACCAGTTGTCGTTTGGCGTCACCAGGCGAGCACTGTGGTGGAACCGGGGACAGGTGGGCGGACGCGGAGCAGTGGAAAAGTGTGAGCGTGGAAGGTAGGACACGGCCAGATTCTGAAAGGAATGAAATCTTCTCCAATGCCATTTCCCATCCCAGGAAATACTATTCGGCTAAGACAGTATTTGATCTTAAAAACAGAACAAAATAAAACCTACCATAAAACAAACAAAAAGCAAACCAGGATCAGGACTCTGAACACACAGCCCAATGTCCCCAAACTGGAACATTTTGTCGTCAAACTGGCAGTTTTGTGTAATACCCTTCAGGCTTCTCTAGCCGGACCATTTGTGGTCCCTGTCCTTGTGATTCACAGACATTAACACAGGTGATTTCCTACTTTTCTCCTCTCTTTACTCTCTCCCCCGCTCCACCTAGGGTGCTCTGAAAATCTAGTTTGGGAATATCTAAGTTTTTATATATGCTCCACTCACCAGGTGAGAGGAAAGGGGAGTGAAGTAGTGAAGAGTTGGGGCTCTGGGTTTAAATGACCTCAGTTCAAACCCCAGCTCTGCAGCTTACTGGCTTTGTGACCTTAGACAGATTGCTTAACTCTCTGCGCCTCAGTGTCTCCATCTGTAAAACTGCATCAATATCATGCAATGACCTCCTGGGTGTGCTGCAGGGATTAAATGAGATAATACATGCACGGCCCACAGAACCTCGCAGCACATTCTGAATACTCAGTAACGTTAGGTATTACCATGCACCGTCTCAAAGTCCTTTAATTTGTTCTGGTATTAGATGTCCTCTTAAAGCACCAAATGGCACCTTAGAAAGAAATGACCATTTAGCCTGTTCCTCTCATGAGACTTGCTCTGTTTAATTTCCCATGAAATGCACTATCACAAAATCCATGATCTGCTTATCAATCCACAGATACCGAAACTAGCAACACCCGGAAAGATTTCCCTCCTAGTCATAAGGGAAGCCAGTAGCGGAGCCAGAAATAATATTCAAATTCTGAACTCACTAGACCGTATCGCCTGTCTGACAAATCCTGCTCTTACTTCCTGCTTCCAATGAGTGTATCATAACTGACGTTTCTCTGAGCAGTAAAGGGAATAACATGAACTGTAAATTCCAATGGCTCTATAATGAATTGCATTAACGTGCGATTTTGTTATTTATCTAATATTGCCCTCATTATAGTTCTCAGAGAGCACCCACAATGCTGGGCTCTGCCCACTGGGAGCAGACAAGGAAAAGAGCAGACCCTGGGTGACAAAGGCTGGTGACTCCTGTGCCTGCCGCAAAGCACCCAGAAACGTGCAATCTGTACTGAAACAGCTTTTCCAACGCTGAACACTTGTTTAGTTAACGTGGAAGAGTACAAAGGGATCAAATGCAGACTTGAAAAAAAGAAAGCCCAAATAGGGGTTCATGTTTTAGACACACTGCAGGTAGAGTTGGCAACATAGTTGTTATTTGCCAAGTAACCTGAAAGCAACAAATTAGATAACCTGTGAAGGATACCATTCCCAGCCTTCAAATGGCATTTCAAGGAAATTAAATCTTATCATGTAAATAAGTCAAAAAAATATATTTGAATAACAAGTCCCCTTCTCTTTAATGCAATCTTCAATATTGTTAGATTATCAAGCTTTAAATACATGTTGGATCTCTAGGATTAATCTCTGGTTGATCCAAGGAAGTCATTCTGTCTAACCAAACATAAATGGAGATGGGAGGGTGTTACAGTTTAGAGTCACTACTAGAGAGGGAGGAAAGAAAGGAAACCAGATAGTGGAATCCTCCTCTAGTATATGCATGGCCAAACATACTTTTTTTTTTCCTCAAAACCTACTCAATGGGGTCAGGTACAGTGGCTCACTCCTGTAATCCCAGCACTTTGGGAAGGCCAAGGTGGGAGGATTGCTTAAGGCCAAGAATTTGAGACCAGTCTGGGCAACATAGCGAGATCCCATCTCTACAAAAAAACAGAAAAATTAGCCAGGTGCGGTGGCATGTACCTGCAGTTCCAGCTACTCAGGAGGCTGAGGCAGAAGGATGGCTTGAGCCCAGGAGCTAGAGGTTACTGTGAGCTATGATCACACCACTACACTCCAGCCTGGGAGGGAGCAAGACTCTGTCTCAAAATATGAAGAAAAAAAGTGCCATCTATTTCCTAAAAGACTTTGACTGATACACACTCAGAGATTCTTATATTACACAAAGGATATAACACCTCCCTTAATTTCTAATATTTTTTTATTTTTAAACTCCTTGTGGCCTTTCCTTCTGGTTAAGAACTTGCAGCTAATTCAAAGAAAGAGATTTGACCAAAAGAAAAAAAAAAACTCTACAAACTTTCATTTTAAAATTTAATAGCTATTGCCAAATTGGTTTCCATAGAGGTTGTACCAATTTTTAGTCTCTCCAACAATCTGTGAGACTGCTTGTGTCCCCACACCCTGACGAACACAATGTGTTGATCTCCGCCAATCTGATAGGTGAAATATAGCATCCAATCATTTCAATTTGCATTTCTCTCACTATGAATATGGTTTCGTGTGTTTAAAGCCATTTTTATTTCCATTTCTATGTTCTATTTGTTCATATTCTTTGGTCATTTTTCAATAAGCGCTTGATTTTATCCATTTCAACAGCTTTTTATATATTACGAGATTTAGTTCTTTGTAATATGTATTACAGATACATTTTCACCATGTGTCCTTTATATTTTTTGTTTATGGTGTTTTTTGCCACACAGATTTTTTTCTTTTAGTATAGTCAAATTGCAGTCTTCTTTCATGCAGCTTCTGAGTTTGTGTTAGCCTTAGAAAAAGCTTTCTGGCTCCAGAATTATAAAAACATTCTCTATTTTTTTTCTAGTATTTTTATGATCCCATACATTTGAAATTAATTTTAGTGTTTAGAGAAATGGAACTCTACCTTCATTATTTTTCAGATGGCTACCTGGTTTTCTCTAGGAAATTACCCTACTGATACACTCACACATATTTACAAAGAAAAATGTAAAAATACATTCATTATAGTATCCTTGGGAATGGCAAAATATTTAAAACAACCTTAGCATCTTTCAACAGCGTACTGGTGACATAAATTACAGTTCATTTACACACTGGACTAAAATGTAGCTGTTTAAAAGAAAGAGATTCTAATAGTACTGTTACGAAATCCCAAAATATGTGGTTAAGTTATAAATCAACCCTATGCTGAAGAGCAGTGCTTACATTATTCCTGATTAAAACAAAACAACAAAACAAAACAGAAAAAAACCATACAATACAAACATAAAACAAAACACACATACACATAAATACAGAAGAAACTGGAGACACTGATAACCCTGGGAAGGAAAACTGGGGGATGAGGGAACAGAGGTAGAAGAGAGATTTAATTATTCCTGCCTATTTTTTTGTTCCACATCCATGTACAATATCACTATTTAAATAAATGAACAAAGAAAAAAATAGATTTTTTAAAACTCAAGTTATTATGTTTTAGTGACTGATTCATTACCACATAATGTAGATTTGTAAGATAATGTCATTTACAGTATTGAAGTGTTCCCTTTCGTTCAGTGATACTCTTTATATATGTGTGAAAATGTGGATAAGTAGCACCCTCTGCTGGTAAATAGTTGAAATTCAGTGACCCCCCCCCCCAAAATCATTAATAAACATACCTATGATTTAATCTTAGTTTCAAGTTTGCGGTTACTAGTGTGTGTTTGAATGGTGTATCATAAGAATGATAACATTTTGTATTATCATTTTTAAAACATAAATTATTTTTCCAAAGTTACAAAAGCTACACATTTTGGTAGCAGTCCACAATTCTAGTGTTTTAATTGTTGTCAGGGTGCAGAACTCTGCTTTTGATCATGTTGGAACATTGAGGATAAAATAACTATTTTTAACAGTAGTTACCACTAATTTGTATAAAAGTAAACACAATTGTGTATGTTTGTCAATCTGTTTATTTTCATCATGTTCGTCATTGTTACAATTCATTTGTTCAACAGAGAGTAATTGGTATGTTCACTGTGTATCCCTAGAACTCTAGTGCTAGGGATACACAGTGAACACAATCAGCAACCTTCTTGCTCTCATAAAGCTTACTTTCCACAGGAGGAGAAAGAAAATTAAATAATAGGCCAAAAAAATAGTGTGTTATGGACTGATAAAAGCTAAAGAAAGAAAAACAAAGAGAACACGAAGAGTGATTTTGGAGGAAGGCTTGCAATTGTAGATGGAGTAGCTAAGGAAGGGCTCACCAGAAGGTATACTTGAATAAAGACCTGAGGAAGTGAAGGAGCCAGGCAGAGGATACCTGAGGAAATGCATCCTGGCAGAAGGAAGAGCAAGTGCAAAGGGCCTGAGGTACACGTTTGCCTAACATATTCAAGAAACAGCAAAGAGGCCAATGTGGCTGGAGAGACATAAATATAGGGGAGAGTAGTTGGAAATGAGGTCAAAGCACTAAGGGGAGGGGAGCAAATTATATGGGATCTTGGCATTGTAGAAGGACATTGGCTTTTGCTCTCAGGGAGATGGGAAACCACTGAAGGATTTTAAGCAGAGCAGAGATGTGCTCCAAATAAATGAATGAAGTGAAGGGAGTCAAGGACAGAAATACTGAGACTAGTTAGACATTTACAGCAATAATCTGGGAGGAGAAATGATGACAAGAAGTCATGAATAGCTGGATACAGATATAGACTGTTAGACAAGGCAGCACATGCTGGCAGACAAAATGTGGTATGAGAGTAATACAGGAATAAAGAAGAACTTCAAGATTGTGACCTGATGTGCACTATCTGGGGTGGGCATGCTTGTAGCTCTGACTTGGGCGGTACAAATGCAATAAATGTGAACTAAACATTTGTACCCCTGTAAAATTTTGTAAAAAAAAAATTGTGACCTGAGCAACTGTAGAAATGTAGCTGCCATTGATTGAGATGGTTTGGAGAGAGGGAGGGATACCAGGAACTCAGTCTAAGAATGTTGAGTTTGAGAAGCTATTAAATATTCAATTCACCAAGAATAGTTTTTTAAATTTATTTTTACTTTTTTTTAATGGTCAAGTAAAAATTGTTTATATTTGTGGTGTACAACATGGCATTTTGAATATACATACACATTGTGGAATAACTAAATCAAGCTACTTAACATATGCATGATCTCATATGCTTATCACTTTTTTTGTGGTGAGAACACTGAAAATCTACTCTCTCAGCCATTTGCAAGTATACAATATATTGTTGTTGACTAGATTGTTGTTAACTATAGTCACCAAGATGTCACCATGCTCTCTTGAATTTATTCCTTTAACTGAAGTGTTGTGACCCACATCTTCCCAATCTCCTCACCACCCCAGAATAGTTCTTTTTTGTCCTATTTCCTATATTAACCTTCTACATAAAATGCATTCATACAAAGTCAAAATAAAAATCAAGTGGAAGTGTCAAATAGGCATTGGGATATATGGTCATTCAAGGGAGAGGTTTGAGTTGAAGATGAAAATCTGGACCATACGATCCTCTCAATAGACGCAGAAAAAGCATTCGACAAAATTCAACCCCCTTTTATGATAAGAACATTTAACAAAATAGGCATAGACGTGACTTACCGAAAAATGGTACAAGCCATATATAACAAACCCACAGTCAACATTTTACTGAATGGGGAAAAATTGAAACCATTCCTACTTAGAAGTGGAACCAGACAAGGTTGCCCTCTGTCACCACTTCTATTCGACAAAGTGCTGGAAGTCCTAGCCAGAGCAATCAGACAAGAGAAGGAAATCAAAGACTTCCAAATGTGGGCAGAAGAGGTCAAACTATCGCTTTTTGCTGACAATATGATCTTATATCTAGAAAACCCCAAAGATTCTGCCATGAGACTACTGGAATTGATAAAAAAAATTCAGCAAAGTCTCAGGTTATAAAATCAATGTACAGAAATCAGTAGCATTCCTATATGCCAACAACAGTTAAACTCAGAACCAAATCAAAGACTCAATACCCTTCACAGTAGCAACAAAGAAAATAAAATACCTAGGAATACATTTAACTAAGGAGGTAAAAGACCTCTACAGGGAGAACTATGAAACACTGAGGAAGGAAATAGCAGAGGACGTAAACAGGTGGAAAACCAT